ACAATTATTTATAAAGAAAATAGAAGTTTGTCGTTCTTAATTATCGAACAATGAAATTATTCGGTCGACTCTTGCATCGATTCGATCAAAAGAAGTCTAGGGATTGGTTAGTTAGACCGGTTTGGTAATTAGACAAATTACGCGCCCCTCTTGGACGAAACGGAGCATGAACGATCCACTTGTAGCATAGCTGCTGGCGTGCACGCTCGTTGAAGCTTCCTCGTTCGAGGAGCGAACGTTTCCATCAAACTGCGTCGGCCGTTCAATTACCTACCCGAGACGCGGTAACGAGGAAACGTTGATTTACCGGCGTGCCGATGAGACGTGCTCTATGATACTGGCCCGCGTCGAAGATCGCCGACAGAAAGAGTATTCCAGGAGTCGCGGGGACGCAGCTGTTGCATCGTTAATTAGAGTGGAACGTTTAAGACGATCGATCGCGAGTTAACGACGTCTTGTCGGCCGATAGGATGAGGCGTTCGACACGCTCGACAGAACGACGTAATGCGTTCCGCAGGAATGTTGATTGAACGTAATTAGAAAATCTATTTGCGAGAAAGAAAGAGAGAGGGGGGGGGGGCATTTTATCCTAGAACAAGCTTTAAATTCGAGTTCCCCTGACTGAGTTTTTGATCAAGCCATGCAACAATCATTTTGCCGTTTTCTGTTTGGTAAATGTTCTCGTCGAAATTATTGACGAAAAATTGTTTCCAGGGACAGTGCTCGAAACACCCCTGAAAAACGTAAACTAAAAAAAAGTCACGCACGAGCCGTTCTCCGTCTAATTGCAGTGGGCCTTTAAAAAAGACCATGCTCCCCCGTAGCTCGTACGAATAAAGAATGCTTTCCATACTTTTAATTGCTCGTCCTGGCGAGGTCCCCTCTCGCTATTTTTTTGCCATCGCTCTTTCATCCTCCCTTTCTCGGTCCGTCCTTACGGAGCACGCGACGTAGCGCGTGCCAACCATCGGACGGTCGCGCGCGACCCTCGTTACGCAGAAATCAGCGTAGATTTATCGAGCAAATTGGATCGAGTCCTTCCGTTCGTGGGGGCCCGCAGCCTTGTTTTGTTCCCGCGTCGCCCGAGAACAATGCCGCCCCCAACCCCCTTTTCCCCTCGCAAGTGGCTGACTCGACTGGCCGCGTACATGACTAAGAAGTTTCATTGAACGCGTGTCTAGAAGCTTCTCAGACGACGTCTTCATACCGATATGTGTACCAGTCATGTCTCGATCCTCAGCCCTCCGCGCGGAGATACCTTTCACGCGGATAAAAAACGAGAGATAACGCTGGACGCTCGTTTGATTTGTTTCAGGGTGTTAAAACCCCCTGGTGGCGGAAGCAGCGACATTTTCGGCGCTGCGCCCGACGAGACGAGCCCCCGCCGCGTGAAGAACCACCAGCAGTCGCAGTTGGGCTCGACGCTGTTCGGGGAAACGGCAAACAGCAACAGCAGCAACGAAACGCCGCGTAACAAGCCCGGTAATGATTCATACAATCGCCTGTTTGGCCCTCCCGATGCCCCACCCACCACCCCAAACGCGAAATATCACATGCGCAGCAATATATCTCTCAGCGGGGATTCGACGTCCTCATCGGTGTCGTCCGGCGCCGCGACGTCGCCCGCTAAGAGCATCGGCAGCACGGACTCGATCACGGCCGTGCTCAACGGATACGCGGCCACCAATGGCAACAATCACACCAACGATGTCACAGGTAAGGGTGTCTTTAACTACTCCGATCTCTCGTCCAAACGCCCGCCTCCCACGCCTCCACCCTTCTCTCACTCGAGAATCGGATCTCACTCTGCCTACCTCACTATCTATCTGGTCAGGTGAACTGGGAGTACGGTGCGAGCACGAGTTTCCGAGGCTTAGAAGTTGGAACCCTCGAGTCAAGCCGACGCGTTCAGAGACCGCAGGTTTCTCTGAATTAAATTCTTAATCTCCTCGAATTGCAATACCTAAACGAACTCGCACTGTATTCGAGCTACCTGGAAACACGCGTCTGTGTATCGCAGGCTCTTTATGGGATTAACACGTCGGGTCGATTGAACCGTTCGGAAAAATGTTTGAAACGATTCTGGAGCTAGCGAAACACGAACGAATATCTTGTTCGTTTCTTTTCTTTCATTCTGTGTGACTAATCCAGAGCTTTTACCAAGTCGTCCTCTTGAATTGTTCGCAAGCAGCTTTTAGGAGAATCAAACGATTTCGTAAGTGTGGAAAAAAAGATACATGTTCAAGTAGATCACACGACACACGTCCCACACTTTATGTTTCAATTACCAGTCCTCGCGCTCATTTCACCCACTTAAGTTCTCGAGTTAAACTCTCTGCTTGCGACAAATCCATTACGCGGTAACAGATTTGTTTTTACAAGACGTATTTGCAAAACAGAGCCCGTGAAACAGTGATACATTTATTTCTTTCCGGATCAGAACGTTTAGTCATTTCTCACCACTGACGCATCTGATTCGTATTGTCCCGATGATGATTTCACCACTTCATTGCTTGCATCTTACACGTGTGACGATCTTATTCATAAAACTCTATCAATATTATGACAACTACATTTCTTTCGTTTGTTTTCGAAACTCTCATCTCTTGCTTTGCTCGCTTTACACAAACGTAGTATAATATAATATTGTTTAGTTTCTTTCTTATTTCCGTGCTCGTTCCTCTTCGCACGAACGAATCCGAGGTACTCTTGTCACAATTTTATAATTAATTTTAAATATCGATCGTTCTACAATTTGATGTAAATCTGCTGATTGACTATGGGAAACGATGAAGAGTTAACAGTCAAAGCTAAAGGTAATAAGTTTAAAACCATATTGATCGTTGCATACTTTGAAGTTTGCCTAACGGCTATGGGAAAAGATGAAGAGTTAACAGTCGAGGTTAGGGCAAATATGAGTACGCTCGATTCGTCTGTGCAAACAGTCGCGCGCACTAACACGAATTATGTCGAGTTGGGTGACGGTGTTGTGGGTTTTGGTACTTACCTGTGTGTCGGTGCATGGGGGTGGTGGTGGTGGTGATGGTGAATTTCTGGCCTCGTGTCCGCTTTGCGTGCACCGGCGTGCGAAACAAACGTGTCGTCCTCCCGTGCCTTCCTACCCGCTCGAAAACCTCTGCCAGGTGGATCGTCCTGCTTAACTCGCAACCCGGTCACCGGAGACGGAGTCGACGTGACGCCCGTCAGACGCAGCGCACGAAGGTGTCGAGGTAACGTTTACCCATTCTTATTCTCAGTTTTACCCCGAAAAACAAAGTGAGAAGAAAAGACGACGAGCCGTCTTGGTCTCATCACCCGATTTATTTTCATCCTTTCACTAGAAAAACTGTTAGCACCGTTCAACGATATTAAAGTACCATAGTATTTCTTTATTTCATGTTTACTGTCTTCAATAGATAATACTTAATAAAATATTTACACAAATATTCTTCTGTCAAAGAAATGGAAGTCTGAGAAATGGAAGTCTAACAATACCAAAGAATTATTATATTTATTTCTCTCACCCTCTATTTACTTTCCTATTTTATGAATCGTTTATATAAAAGGACTTCTGTCAAAGATAAACGAAAGTCTCTGACAGAAGGGAAGATATATGGGATCGAAGTGTAGATTCTGGGAATAGAACGTCAACCCCTATCCGATGGGG